AGAAGTTCCACAATCAGTACGTTTTTCGTTACTTTAAACTTAACAACTTTTATAATGCACAATCTCGATAACTTCCCTCTCGACCAATGCAAAACACACCTTACGTCTCACTAACTGGAAAGTAACAGAATCATAAATTACATGGAACTCAAAGTAACTACTGCTCTCTCTTCATTTAAATATCCCCCCTCCCTGCTGGCTTTCCTCTGCCAGGCTTATATACTAACGAAGAGGGCATGTTGGACTTCCCTGATCATTCGAGAAACATCACGCACGCTACCAGCGCCAAACGCGCCAGCATCGTCACGTGACTTCCGCTGTCGTAACAATAGTATTTCTCGCGTTTAATTTAATCTTCACGCGTATAGACTAATTTCAACTACATCAAGGATGGAAACCTACTTATGTTTCAATTTTGATATAATGCGTTTCATCATCCTTTCTATAGTTTTGTTAAGATGTTTTTCAGCATCAATAGTCTCCGTTGTTAAAAAACCTTAGGAAGAACAATGAAAATTCAAGAATGTAGAAACTTCTTTTTTTAGTTGAGTAACCATGATATTCTGACTTCTAAACGGTTTTACATTTAAAGTCGTCAGTATAAGTTATTTGTTTAAAAAAAACATACCTTCACTGTTTATGTGAAATTTTCGAAGTTTTACAAATAACGCTACTCTGGCGTCGTTTTCAAAAATAACAACAACAACAAAAACTGTAAATTCTGTTTCTAAACTACTTGTACATTGGCTTTTAATTTTAATAAACAACATTAGACTTTGGTGTCATTTTAAAAATAATATTAAATTGCACATGAGTATAATTGTTACAGTTCTAAGTAAATTCTCACACAGAATATTTTCTAACTTTACGTTAGTGATCGTCTGTATTTCAAGCATTAGGCTTAATCCTCTTGAGACGTCATTACCCTGTTAAACCTGTACAGGATTTCTTGTGCCAAGTTGTAGGAGGCGCGTTTTTGTCTAGATGTTCATCACAGTTTTGCCACTAAGGAGGTTTACAGAAGTTCTACATAGAACTGGTGATGTGGTTATATAAAGAAAAACAACACAGTTGAAAATAGCAAAAAATAATTACAATATGCAATACAAGCCTGACACTAAAATAATTTTGTGACTTTAGCCAGTAAATATCTATAACTATGTAGCGAGTGTCAGTAACTACCTTTAACTAAACGTGGGATATGTAGGGAGTGTCAGTAACTACCTTTAACTAAACGTGGGATATGTAGGGAGTGTCAGCAAATATCTCTAAACAAATGTGGGTTATGTAGGAAGTGTCAGTAAATACCTGTAACTAAACCCGCATTATACATTCTAAACCGGAACTACTGATTAATTACTTGGTCTCAACAAGGACAGTATTCTAAACCGGAACTACTGATTAATTACTTGGTCTCAACAATGACAGTATTCTAAACCGGAACTACTGATTACTTGGTCTCAACCAGGACAGTATTCTAAACCGGAACCACTGATTACTTGGTCTCAACTAGGACAGTATTCTAAACCGGAACTACTGATTGCTCGATGAAACCTGGACAACATTCTAAACCGGAAGTACTTTTAGTATTAAATGGGAAGTTTCTGATTACGCAGTTTTAACTTGAATAGTTCTGATAAAATATTATTTTTTGCGATATCTTAGTTAAGCCATTGTTATAGATTTTCCAACATTTTTTGTGAGCTTTATGTCAGTGCTACATATTGAAGACTTCACCTATACTGGTTCTTTTACCTTTTATACTTTATTTATTTTATTGTTTTTCCTTATGTCAGTGCTACATATTGAAGACTTCACCTATACTGGTTCTTTTACCTTTCATACTTTATTTATTTTATTGTTTTTCCTTATGTCAGTGCTACATATTGAAGACTTCACCTATACTGGTTCTTTTACCTTTTATACTTTATTTATTTTATTGTTTTTCCTTATGTCAGTGCTACATATTGAAGACTTCACCTATACTGGTTCTTTTACCTTTTATACTTTATTTATTTTATTGTTTTTCCTGCTTTCAAAGGATAACTTGAATAACATAAAAATTACATTTTCTTATTTTAGTAGCTCTAACATTCTCTGTTTTCTTCCAATAGGCCACCTTATCAGAACAGTCTATTCGCCTCCTGGGAAGTGTTCCTGCAAGAAGTTGAAGTGGACTCTCAGGTTTGTTTGTTTTATGTCTGTCCAAAAACGATTCCTTGAAAGTAAACGTACATCGTAGCAAGTCAAAACTGTAAATTTCACTTGATGTTGTAGAAATTTATCATCACATTAGAACGAAAAATTAAATTAACCTTTCCGAAGTTATACGAAACTGTACTTGTCATATACAAATGGATATTTCATGTAAGTTCACTGCTTCCTTCTTGAATTCAATATATTTCATTTCTCATAACACCTGCAGTAGTAAGATTTTTAGCCATAAATCCACTGTTTTCCTTGTTTTGACGTCCATACACATATATGTATACATATAATATACCTGTTTCAATCATTGTCCATCTTTATTTACATCAACATCATCTGTTAAATCGTTAAGTTTTTTTAACAACATTCATAAAATGTTATAGTTTGCTAAAAAATCTTCATTTTCCTTGAAATCGAGAGAATCCGTTTCTGTTTGTAATGACACTTCAGGTACAATGTTGTACTTTACTTTGATCAGAAATCTTCATGTTCCTTAAAATCGAAAAAAACCTTTCTGTTTGTAATGACACTTCAGTTACAATGTTCTACCTCATTTTGATAAGAAATTTTCACGTCCCTTAAAATCGAAAAAATCCGTTTTGTTTGTAATGACACTTCAGTTACAATGTTCTACCTCATTTTGATAAGAAATTTTCACGTCCCTTAAAATCGAAAAAATCCGTTTTTGTTTGTAATGACACTTCAGTTACAATGTTCTACCTCATTTTGATAAGAAATTTTCACGTCCCTTAAAATCGAAAAAATCCGTTTTTGTTTGTAATGACACTTCA